TGTGTGTGTGTGTGTGTGTGTGTGTGTGTGTGTGTGTGTGTGTGTGTCCAGTGTGTATATGTGTTTTTCCTTCATGAATCAGTTGTTGAGAAACAAAAAATAAATCTTTGTTTGTTTTTGGAGTCTCTACTCTGAGTTAGTGACCAAATTAAGTTGAGAATTTTTTTTTTTTTTAAATAATAATGCTAAACAGTAGGTAAATCGTTATAAAGTCAAATTAGAGCGGATTAAAATAAAAATGTATAAATACTAAACCCGTAGCATAAAAACAGACCCTGAATATAATCAGATTTAATAATAACCAATAATAATAAAAAACATAAAATTATGAAACACAACATAAAATCCAGACTGAAGAGATGGATTTCTTGTTTCTGTTTGAATATCTGTATTTTCAGCTGCTCTCAGATTCTCTGGAAGGATGTTACAATGGCTTGGAGCATAATAGCTAAAAGCAGCGTCAAACAAATGTTTTTGTTCTTCTTTGTAGAAGAGAAGAGCCAGAGGATCTGAGTTGCCTTACTGGCTCATAAACTAAAAGCATCTGTGAGATGTACTCTCGTGCAAGGCCATGTAAAAATAAACTAATAAAAGAACTTTAAAATCAACACAAAAAAACAAACAGGTTGCCAGTGTAAAGATTGAACGTGCTCTCCTTTTGGTCTTAGTTAATACTCTGGCAGCAGAATGTGGAGTTTATTGTAGCTGGATCATTGTATTCTTTGGTAGACCAGAAAGAACAGCGTTGCAATAGTCCAGCATGCTCCTTATAGAAGTGTGCGTCAGTCTCTCTGTGTTGCTGAGAGAGAGAAATGGCCTACATTTGAAGATGTCATTTCTGTCTCGTAAAAACCACCCTGTCCCCACCTCATTTTCAGGAGACCTGGCTCCGTAAAAAAGGTTCTGAGGGAAAGATAATTACTGCCTGGATTATTTTTATGTTTGTTTGAAATAGTTTTGCACAGAAGTAAAAAAAAAAGCGCAGGACTTTGACACAAAAGAATGAGGGGTTTGTCCTGCAACCCAGAGAATTTTTGCCTTCTTGCGAGTTCTTTTATAGGTTCCGAGTCTCAGGTTGGGATGTACTTCCTTATACAGTAAATCCAGACTGTTTGACAAATAACCCCATCAGTTCCTTACATAACACAGACCTAATATGCTTGGGTGAAGCTGTAAGATCAACGTGAATGATGGCAGAGGCTCCTCTTGTCAAATATCCTCCTTATTTTCCAACAGCTCTAAGTTAAGTTCTGTTATTTCCTATTTTAAGGATTATCTGATAAACCCACAGTGTACCCTAAACACGCAGTTGTACATGAGCAGAATTGACTATAAAAAGGTTAAATATTTCAATGATTTATTCAAACTGGGTGGCCCATAAACTCCTACATCATTAATAGCTTTTACTGACAGCTGGAACAAATGATTCTGTGTAGCTGAGAAGCTCAATCTGGCAGCGCAGCGTCACGGTGAAACAAGACAGCGCAGTCATATCTGGCCCACGGGTTTATGGAAGAAACCTCCTTCATACAAGCAAGATAGTAACATGATAGCGAAACATTGTGTCTTTATACAATTTAGTGACGTGCCGAGAATCTGGTGAAACACATTATGAGGTGCTGAGCCTGGAGCGTTTCCCACTTTCATAGACGCAGAATTATTAAATCAGAAAAAAGCGTGTATGAGTGAAAATCTGGAGTCCCATTTGTGCATGCACTTTAACTATTGTAAATGTAGATCCTGAATGGCAACAGTTTATGTGGCTGCAATGTCATTTAAATTCAATCACTGTGTTAACCGGGTCATTATCGCAGGGCGCCGATAGCCTCCGGCAACCTTTACCGAGCTGCCATCATTTAAATTCAGAATTTCACAGTGATACAAAGAACAGGTAATCACCGGGTCTCTTATGTCATTAGAGAGTGTTTGTGTGCCTATTATTGGAACTTTAATGTTTTCAATTTACGTCTAACCTCCAGGTCAAGTGATTCTCAATATTCCCTTTTTCATTTTTACGCTGATGATACACCGGTATATTGAACCCATCAAACCTCTCCTCTAGCCTCAATCAAAAAAAGGCCCCAAGTTGTAAATATTTTAGCAACATAACAAAGTCAGCCATCTGTCAGCTTACAGGCATCTCTAAAATAGCATCACTTCATTTCCGGACACACAAATCCTTCCTGCCTTTTATTACAGCAGCTGGATTACTGTCACTTGTTATTCGCCCCAAAAATAAAATAACATTCTCTAACTGGAGCACATTTCCTGCATGTTGACCTCTCTGCACTGGTTACCTTTGGCCTTTAGAAATTACTTTAAGGTTTTACGACGTGTGTTTTAAGGTAGAGGCATGACTTGCCTCAGGCTGGAGACAGGATGGGGAGACATTTGTCGTCAGGGCAAGTTTAACATACAAAACATATGCTGAGTTTATGAATGATGATGCATTGTTATATATTAAACTACCCAATAGTATATATAAAAAGTAGCTCAACCTCTGCTGCTGACACATATTAAAACTATATTGTTTGACGCTAGTAAAGACAATTGTTTTGAATGTTAATTGCATACTTTTACTTAAAGGTTAAGTTTTCTTGTAAAAGAACAAAACATTCAGTGTTACTCACCATTAATGCATTGTGTGTCCTTTAGCTCAAATAAACATGGTAAATAAATGCCTTCCATTCCTTATGCAACAATTGCAAGTCCAATATTAATTGGATTTGCAATTGTTGAATTAGCACCCGACTCTCAGCTCTATTGAACATTTTAGTGTCTTTAAATTAATTGTTTGGGTTTTTACGACCCACAATGTTACGTTTTGGTTCAGTCTTGGCGCTCTCATCAACCCTAACGTCAGCCACAGTAAGCAACTGTTTCCAGCGAAATAGCGTCAAAAACTCACTGTGCACTACCTGCCGAGCAACAAACAACAGACAAAGTAAGCTACAGCCGCTAGAGACCAACACGGTGCTGAAATGAGAGTGAATATTGGACTTACATTCATCTGGCTGAAACACGGCTTCAATTGAGGGCTAATGATGCCCTCTGTCACTGGATGTGTAAAATGGCAACTGTTGCTGTTACATGCATACATAGTAAGCTCATATATGTTTGTCAACATCATTTTTCTTTATCTGTTTTTGAAATTGTATCACCTGTTGTGGACCGCATTAGACAAGAAAATCATGTTATGTAAGGTAATAAATTTGCAATTGGCAAACCTGTTTTTGAGAATGTATCACTTTAGATGTAATTACAGTGATCCAGAAGTTCAAGAAGTGACATTAGACGTCCATTTTGCTGTCACCAGTATAACAATGATCTAACCGCAGGTTTCCGTGGATCGTGGTTATATCTGGACCATGTTCTTGCTTCCTGCCGTGGTCCTGCCTGACACCCACTGCTTACTCTTTATTACTAGTAATCACATTGCTTGCTATTGCCGATACCATTACTGCTTCTGTTTTCATTGCCATTCTACTATATCCATTTCTGCTGTTATTAGTAATCATAATGTTTCCATCATTATAATACTTACTACTCTCATTATACGAATAATTTCTGTCATATGCATTGAATGTGTCGTAACTCTGTCATGTTGTTCATTCTGTACGCATGACATCTATCCTGGGAGAGGGATCCCTCCTCTGTTGCTCTCCCTAAGGTCTCTTCCTTTTTTTCTCCCCGATAAAGGGTTTTCTTTGGGGGAGTTTTTCCTGTTCCGATGTGAGGGTCCCGGGACAGAGGATGTTGCATTTGTACAGATTGTAAAGCCCTCTGAGGCAAATTTGTGATTTGTGATTTTGGGCTATACAAAATAAATTTAATTGAATTGAATAATGAAAAGGCAGAGAGGATCATGTGATCACCTTCACAGACTGTGGAGGACGGAGCTACTAGAATGCTGCAGGAATGAGTCCTAAAACCCAGAAATTAGTCACATTTTTGCCCCTCGTCTCGAAGTCAATATAGGTCTTTTGAATAGGTCATTGGTGCCTGAAATAAGGTCTGTGGTTAACACAGGCTGAAGAGATTGTAATGTTTTGTTCTACAATAGAAAATACGTAAGTAATACCCCTAGTGTACATTTTGTTGCTTTTTTCGTGTCTTAAAAAGGCATTTGCTTACAAGTGGCTAAATGAGACAACCAAACGTCATCATGCCAATCCCCCTTCACATCCTCGTTGTGCTCTTGCGACCGTTGTGTTGTTCGTTTGTAGTCTAACGTTTGCTTTTTACTCCGATTACATTCATGCTTCAAAAATGATAAAAGTGTGGTTCATTTGTACAGATTGTCTTGCTTAACAATCGTGTAAGTATCATAACATATTCTGCAATGATCTAGCATCCAAGGGAAAAACCAATGCGACGTTTACTTCATTGGTTGGCCTACAAAAACATGCAGCACTCTTTAAAGGGTCACTGACAGCATTAAAGGTCAGGAAAGACACGTCCCTAAACCAAATCCTCCATCTCGGTTTAGACTCTGGTGAAGCCTCAGGTGAGCACACAGTAGATGGAGAAGAAAAGCCTCCTTGGTGGCTTTAAATCAAAGTTCAAATAAGGATCAAATGCAATTCTTTACCTTGAATTTTCTGCACTGTGCGCATGCAAACAAAAATATTAATGCTTTCTCTTTGCTGATGTTTGTCTGGAGCCAAAGGCAGCAGAGTCAAGTGAGTGTCCAGTGTTAATAGAGTCACAAGAGACATCACTGGATCTTTTCTTTTCATTTATTGAATATTTGTTTGAAGTAGGCCTACACTGGTTGCTCCTGTTGATAGACGGAAGTCTCTTAGAGATATATGTTTGATTCATCAAACGCTATGACTTTCCTTATTAGGACACCAAAATGAAGCAAAAAGCAAAAGTCAAGTTGATAAGGCTAGTTGATAATATCTACAATTTCAAACTACAGAATAGCCAATAATGGGGTGGAAATGGAAAATTGATCATTAAACCACCACCAGAGACAAATAAATCAAATAATATTGATCGTAATTATATTCAGACACATCAGACATCAGGAGCAGGTTGATATATGCAGAAAACAGCTTCTCAACTGCACTATTTGTGTTTGGGAGAAAATATGCATTTTTTTTTTCATGGCATAAATGTGCAACAACGTATATATAACTTTCATTTTCCACCAAAATTTGTGCGGTCAACAACGCAATAAAATATTGAAATCTAAACATGAACAGAAATGGTTTAAAAACAGCCCATGACACTAAAACAGTCATAAAATGTTGTGCCTCCCTTCTATGGCCCTCAGTATTCAATGAAACATGACTCCACACATGTACAAACTGGCTGAGGAGCTACACTTGTTTCTTAGTAGTAAAAACACAACACAAGAAAGAAGAAAATGACAAGTGAATAAACAAATACAGAAATTAACTTACAAGCACACAACACTAAAAGTAGCCATTATTATTCAAACTTACTCACCAATGCTTAATATCTTTTAACTTGTATGGATGTTAAGGAGGACAAAAAGAAATGTCGGTCTTATAGAACCTTGATGTCATTTCAGACCTTTGTGATTGGCAGCAAAATGTAATGATTTGTTCTGTGCACGTGCAGAAAAGGAAAAAAGTATGTATATATACTTTTCAAAAATGAAATCAAACCTCCACCTGAACACGACACCACATCACGCCAAACCTATAAAGACCCAAAAGGTTAACCTGAGTGTTGCGCGTGGACTCACCGTCTCCCACACCACCAGCTGCAGGAACAGAACCACGTGAAGCAATGTGGCCATCCATCTCAACCACGAACATCCAGAGATGAACATACTCTGCAATAACATTCTCCAGGCTTGTTCACTTTGAAAACTACACGCAAAAAAAAAAAGTGGAAATATGTCCGAGGACGATATCAGTCTTTGAAAATAAGAATTTATTTCCTTTTTAAAATTTCCAACAATCCATGAAGTGAGACGCTTGGTGGCCGTTTCCCGATATGAGTGTTGGCGGTTGCCTCTCCAGTGTCCGCAGGAGAAGGTCCGCCTTGCGCGCGGAGGAGACTGAGCCAAACAAGGTGCGCTCCTCCCTGAAAAGACACAGGCGGAGCGGAGCGCACAGACGCTGCAGCGGCGCAGAGCTGCGCGCAGACACATGCGAGAAGACAGGACGTGGACTCGATCTTTACCTGCGCACACAGTATGCTGGAATCACTCATACACCTTATACACAGACCCACTTAACAGTATTTTATATCACAGATAGGCTGTCTCTATAATATACTGTATAACAACATGTATATTATCCTACATCTTTTTAAAAGCATTGATATCAAAATACCAGAGGCTAAAATAGACATAAGAACAACTGTTATATGAAGAAGAATTGTAGAAGATGGAACTTGTGTCAAACTTCTGATTCTAAAGTTAATAATGAAAGACCAAACTATATGGTTTCATGTAAATATATGTGTTGCTCCCTGGGAGAAATTTTTCTCACAAAATGTTCATAATCAAGATGAAAAAGGACCCCAGTAATACTTACATGAATAATAAGGTGAAAAAGGTCATTTTGTGAGTCTATGTAAATACCATAACTGTCATTTCATAAGCGATGAAACACAACCATGGTTCAATCAAACACTCGTCGGTGTTTTAAAGCCGTACAGCGTTTCTTGGTCTGGTATTGACCCATGGATGTATAAAGTGAACTGGATACAGCGTTGGAGTCAGCGCCTCATTCAGTTCTATGAAAGTCAGTGGCACATGAAGCCAAAAAAATTAGACTTCCGGGTGTAAAATTGGCCGGATCTTCTGGCGATTATACGCATCCATGGGCCCATAGAGCAAATGCACTAGCGTTTCCTTTAAACCCGCCGCCCAGCCCTCGGTCCAGCCTCTTTCTCTTCCCATGATTTACTGGTTTAGTCTGTTTCCCGATGTAAGTCTACGGCAAAAAGTATTTTTGGGCTCCATCCCATCACGCGACGGACCTGGAAACAGTCACCACGGTGTGGACACTTTGTTAAATTTTGCCACAAAGCCTGGTGCTCTTCCTCGAGGCTTGATATGATCAAGTATGGTGGCAAACGTTGCAACCTGGTGTCACTCCCAACCTGTCATTTATTGACGGTTGATCGGTGCCCCTCTGAGTCTCCTACCGCTGCACCACGCTTTCAGCTAACTTTGATGTAAACCCACCTGCGTCATGTAAAAGCTCAGAGCAAAGGACGTAGTCAACCGCACTCTTTTCCTGAAGTGGTTTTCAAAAATCAAACCTCCCGTGAAGAGGGAAGTTTATTTTGCATGTAACCAGTAAAAACCGACATGTCCAAAAACTGATACCAGAGGGGAACCTCGAGCATCAAAGTTTGAAGCTTCGGGCCACTGGCCAAGCGTCGGTATTCGACAAGTTGGGAGTGAGAATGCTGGATGTTGACCAACTGATGGATGATATTCACTGTGGCTTTGTTTTCTCTTGTGCAGTGTAAATATGGCTGGGACTGAGTCCATTCTGGCCGTTTGCAGGCCACATATCAAACAAATACGATGATATTTACTTTAGCGTGCGTGTGTTTGTGTGTGTGTGTGTTTTGTCCTCTGGTACAGTAGCCTTGTCCTTGCAGTTAGGACACTTCATATAAACAATTAGAATAAACATAAACAGTGCAGGTTGACAGCAGCCAACGGAGCGGCAATGTGTGTGTGTATGTGTGTGTGTGCGGATACGTGTGTGTAGGTGTATGTGTGTGTGTGCTGGAGACACCTTGCACCCTGCAGAGGTCGGTCGATGACAGACGGTGCCTTTGGCTTTTCCACCAGACCACCAACACAGAATTTCCTGCAGCGAGCAGCACCTGTGGGAGAAGAGTGGGGGTGGCTCTAATACAGGGATTAGGCTGCATTTATTGTTAGCTTATGATTGTGCTTCATGAATATTTAATTGCATACATTCTGGAGCCTGAAAAAGACTCAGAATAGTGCTTGGATGTGTGTTTATGTGTGTGCTGTGTATTTATCATGTCGTTGAAACAATCACCCACGTGCCCAATAAATATTAATACGATTTCTCTGTATTCCATATGGAGGACCTTTGAGCTAAAATCAGAATCAGATCAGAAAACGTTTATTGCCAATGTATGTTGCACATACAAGGAATTTGTCATGGCTAGGATTCTGGTTATGATTCTGTCAAGGTTAGGATAAACCTCCAGGGAATCAATGTGAAACATCTTCAGGAGTATAGTAGTATCAGTGTGTGTTTGTGTACATAGACGTAAGGATGTATCTGAGTCCTTGACTTGGGGACAAACTCCCTTCTTTCTGTTATTTTCCACATCTGATGTCCCAGTTCATTTCTCTTTAAACCACAACAATTTATTTTTCCTTTATTTTGTTTTGTTCGCATGTAAGAAGGGATTTAATCAAGTTCTACACGACATCACAATGCAGTATCATTAGAAGCCACCTGAGGTAGAACATTTTATAAAATATATAATTCACTCTCTCTAAAGTACAGATTTTTTTTATCTACTTTTTCTTGTACATATTGTACTATGAATGAAACTGTTTCACACTAAAAAAAAGTTTCTTCTCCAAATCAGGGGTTTAGATAATCTGGACAAAAACACATATCTTTATTTATTTTGAAATCATTTAACAGTACCCTGTGTAGTCTTGACCTCTGGTGCTATATCGCTTTTTTTTTGCAGCGTGTCCTCGTTTTTTTTTGTTCCGTGTAGTGCATGCGAGACACATTCCTGCCAAACACTATCCCACTGATCTACAGGTGAAGGTAATGTGCCAAGAAATGAGAAATGCACCAGCGAAGGCTGGGAGGAAGAAGACTGCAAGCTTGTAAACATGAGTGTAAACTACAAAAAAAAAAATCCACTTCGCAAATTTTGTATGAAGAAGAAACGTTGCACCTTACACTCACTATCATAACTAATTCAAACATAACTTTTAAAGTTGGTTTATAAGAAAACTCCACAGCGCACCTTTAATATGTAAATATAAAAATATGAGAGGTTAAAGAAGACTCAGCATGTCAGATTGAACAGGATGAATAGGAATAAATCAAAAGTGTGATGCTGACAGTTAAGATGAAAGAGTAAAGCAAAGTTATCAGATGTGCCGTCAACAGACATCTCTGACCTTTGACCTGGACCCCTGCTGCTGACTGCTCTGTTTGTCCAAATCGGCTCCTTTGTGGATTGGTGCTGGCTTTCAAACATGATTTCCTCCGTACAGTGTGTGTATGTCTGTCTGTGTGTGTGTGTGTGTGTGTGTGTGTGTGTGTGTGTGTATGTGTGTGTGAGGTCATTGCTGGTCACCTGCTGTTTGCAGCTGCGTGTCCCCAGACATCCCACAGAGACACTGTGAGGCTCTGGACTCTAAACAGAAATTGATGGAACAGATGTGTCACGTATCAACAGCTCACCTCTGGGATTTCATCGCTACCCTTATCTGATCGAGAGCAGTGAAGAGGAAAAGTTGTTCTGTGTCACTTTCAGTCATCAGGTATAGATTTAGCCAGCTAGCTGCTCTCAGTCTTGTCCTTATCTGCAGCACTGTCCATCACTAATAACCGAAAATATTACCTCGGCAGCGATTTCTTTATTGGACTACATAATTGGTTAATGACATTTTATCAGCACATCTTACAAAGACAAAGCAAGATCAGTGCATATGGTGCTTGACAAGATTGTGTATCTTTAATGAGAAAAGATAAAATCACATGATCCTAGGAAATAAGACTGTCTTGTATTTCTCTCTTTGCAGTGCACACAGATAATGTTTGACGATTTTTGAGTTGATGTATCCAAATTAAAGGACAAAACCTGTCATTTGGGGATGATGGTAAAGAAAAAGCGAGTCGCATTCTGTCATGACAAAGCAGTTTTGTTGACCCGTCAATCTACCTCGACCTACTCCTCATATCCAGACTTTGTCACTCTATTACAACCTCACCTTTGCTCCTATAAAAAATTCCACGCCCACAACGGGGCTTTGTCACTTGAACTGTAAACACATGTTGTTCCAGGGCGCTGACTGAAAACACTGATGCTGTCATTCATCTAGAAAGGGCAGTCTCTCACAAAAACGTATGCCGTTACTCAAGATGCGTTAATCCCATAAATCTTCTGCACATGGACTGCAGTCTTCTGGAGGACTCATGCTATGCTGCTCAGCGGAGACAAAAGGCCACAAATGTCAGCGCGCAACCAGCTGTGGCCACATGATGACCTCAGAAAGAGTCAATACTGAAGCAGGCTTTCAGCTTGGGTATCCGAAAGAAGAAAATATAGCCTATAGAAACTTGTGGTCATGTGACTAGTACAAAATAAAATGGTAATTGATGTTCTTCAGTGGCCACCCGCCCGCTGTTCAGCTCATTTGCTGTAACAAGTGTTTTATGACAGCGTTACACTCCCTGTTCGCTCGTTATCCTAGCTAGCTTGCTAATTCCATCAGGCTGTAATGCTACACTGGTTGCAGCCAATGGGCCGAACAAAGTCGCCACTCATCTGTCAATAGCAATGTGCTTTCCTATGCTGTGAGAAAACTGTGTGGAGGAAGCATTAAATTGTTACATTTTTCTCATTTACTGGTTCTTTATGCTTCGCAACGTTATTCCACTGCTTGTTTCATTCATTTATGCAAGTCGCGAACTCACCGAGGTGAGGTTTTTGCATTAAGTCGGTTTAGTTTGTACGGAAGTTAGCACGCTCAGAGCCTGCCGCTCTATGCATCCTGCTACGTTGATTTAAATGGGAGTGTCCATTCTACTTTATTCTTTGGGTCATTTTCTCCCCTTCTTTCACAAAAAAAGCCCATCAAATGACTTGTACCCGCATGTGTCTATTCACTATATGTGTCCCTGTTGTCCTTTTGTCCTTTTCTGTGCAGTGGAGGTATTCCCCGTCCTCCTGATGTCTGACTGACAGGCCGCTGCCCTTTGGCGCACGTTTCATTGACATACAGAACGCGATGACCTTCAGACTCCGCGCTGGAATTTATGAGGAGACACTGTGTAAAGATGATTTGAATGATAATACACCAGGAGTCATCATTATGTAACATTTCATATTATTGCTTTTAGGCCAGATTGACTTTTAAATGATCTTCTAAAATGACTTTACTGGAAGGCAATTCACTAATTCACAATTTATTTCATGGATGTATAGATAAGGTAACAGAAATAACCATGTAAATGCAGCTCTGTATATATACAGTATATATATATATATATATTTATATATAGGCTGAACAGAGGGGATACAGTCAATGTAAATGCAAGTCAGTTCATGTTTGATATGCATTAAACTGCTGTGTGATTTTGATGTTTAGTTGATGAGCAGCGTTTTTTTACAAATGATCTCACAGAGCCATTTAAAGGTCAGATTTAATTG